GCCGGGCAGGCCCCCACGCACGGGCAGCGCAGCCCTCCCTGTCCCCCCGCCTCACGCGAGGCCAGCGCTGACGGGCAGCTGCTCGACGTCGCTGGTGCCGTCACACGTAAGGACAAAGAAAGGCTTCACAGCCACGGGAAGCTGACTGACACCGCGTGCACAAAGCAGCGCAGCAGCCAATACAGCCTGACAGTAACACGATCGTTTGTCAACAAGCCTTTCTTCCCCCTCTCTGAAATCGAATGTTTAGTAACATCAAGATGACCTTCTCACGCTGAGGAACTGCTGTTCCTTCCTCTCCCCAGGCAGCAGCCTCAGACTGCCTCTCGGGAAGAGACAGCAGCAATTCAAAGACCCTTTTCTGCCATTTTATAGCGTTCTCGCACAGCAAGCTGAGTTGGCATTTAGAGCTGAATACAGCTTACCACTAGGAGAAAACTACAGCCAAAAACCAAAACCAAACCTGATAGAGGAGTGGCACGAAGCAAACAAAGGATTTCTAACAGGATCCATTTAGTCTTTGTTTCATCCCCTATTTTCGGCAGATTTACTAAATGCTTTTTTATTTCGGAGCAAAAGCCTCTCCAGAACACCTGCGTGTAAGTGGATCTAACCATCGCTGTGCAGCAGAGCTCGCACAAAGACAGCGCCGCACAAGGTCACAAACGTTACGTGAGGGAGAGGAGACGCGCAGGCACCGGCTCCACGGGAACGCAGAAGTGCTCAGGACTGTCTCATCGGCTTGATTCTCTACTTCTACCATCAGCAGGGCATTAACAGCCTCAGTCACGTTTCAAATGCCTCCTTTCATTTCACTCCTTAAGAATGAACTGACAGTCACAGTGTTCCCTCCATAAAAATTTTAATCAACTATTCATCTGAAGGACTTCTGTTCCTAGAAGTCGCCCAATTTGTCCCTTTTTACTTAACCAGCTACACCTGTACTGTACAGCTGGAGTGAGCTACTGATCACACTGGAGGGAAAATACACTTAGCTACTGAAATATTTTGTTTTCTAATTTGCATGCAAAGCTCTTGTTTCACTGAAACACAGCAGTATACATGCATGCTTATAGCAGGCCAAGAGCACCAATCTACAACCAAAGTGAAGACTGTTTTAGCGTATTAGTTCAGTGAGCAATTTTTTTTTATATATGTGTATATATATGTACATACATACACACACGGCTTTTTTGAGCTGTGCTGTGAACCGATGCTTACCAGGAAGGCACGATGCTCGAAGTTTCTGGAACACGGGACAAGGATGCTTCCTTGAGGTCTGAAGACACCAAGACTTGCAGCTTCCAGTGTTTTACCTAACACATAAACCTGACCAGAGTTAGACATATACACAAGGATAAGATACAGAAGCAAACGTCGAGTGAACTGGCCTGCAGCACGCTGGGTGACGACTCAGAGCTGCACCCATGACACCCGCCTGGGAAGGCACGCTGTGCAGTCTGCTCTTGTAGGTGTTGCTCAAAAGTAAATTTGTGGGTTTAATTTGGTATCTTGGCAAGTTGTTTCAACAGCCCAGCACACAGCCAATGTTAATTTATATATATCAAAACCCAAGACCAATAGGGTCACTGACAGCATCAGAATTATACTTCTCCTAGAATAAAAGAAAAAAGTCTGCTGCAAGAGAAGCATCTATAATTTTGGCATTATTCTATTACTGGCTCACTGAAGTTACCTTTCTCCATTTATGTTAAGAAAAAAGTGCTATTGAATTTAGTTACACCGTAACAACATCTACAGCCCCCCCCCCCCCCAATATCAACAAAACTGCAGTTTAATTTCAGAAAAGGTGTTAAAATATATATATTTATACATCAATTTGACACACTGCATTAGTTTACACAAATGATGGTCTCTCTTGAAACTGTATTTATGAAATGTACATTTTTAATTTAAATACTCAGTATACACTGCACTTAATCTGCATGTTGCATTTATTAAATACATTAAAATCTGCAATGTAACAAAACGTTTTCTGCATACGAAATTCAAAACACCATTTTAAATGAACAAAAGATGGCTCACTTCATTTATTTTTTTTTAAACAACTAGTGCATAGCACACTAGCTCAGCTCCACCAACACCAGCTGTTCTTCCTTTTTTATTTGACATTGTTCACAGACTATTACATATTACAATAAGAGTGCTGGATAAAAACATGAGGTACGAAAGTGGTTCAAAGATTATAGGTCATGCAGATCATGCTAGACAGCAAAGTAAGTTGTGAATGAGAAAACACTAAATAAAAATACATAAAGAATGTGCATTATAAAATAAAAAAACCTCAATTACACAGCTTTGCTTCTTTGGTTACAAAGTAGGTTGAACAATTTCACAGCTTTTTATTCCCACCCAAAAAAAAAATATACGAAATGTCAAAAAGCAGAGGAATCATGGCAATTTCTCTCTATTAGAAAGTAGAAACAGAAATGAGCAAAGTTTTCTTCATCAAAATAGCCCATCAATTATTTATTATATCACAATAACTGGTGACTACCTGTACAGATGCACTATGGTCTTCATACTTACACTCTATACAAAAATTTACATTCAAGCTGGATCGTTACTACCGTAAATAAATACCAAAGGTAAATTGCCATTAGTGTTAGAAATATGCCAGGATTCTTTTGTTCAATTATTGCCTAAACATTTTATCTATTAAACGCAATCCCATCTATCATTTTACTGATACATACATTTATTAAAAAAAAAAATTAAAAAAGTTCTGTGACATTGTTCATGTACATTATGAAAATAGCAGCCCTGTAATAAATAAAACAAATACATGAAACTAACGTAGGCAAATGTTACTTATATTGAAAGAACAGTGGCTCTTAAGATGAATTGTTACTTCTTACCAAATAGCAAGGCTCAAAGTAATCCACGGGAAATGGAAACCTTGGAAAGCCACCAAAGCTCTGAAAGACCTCACTGCTGCACACCAAGCAAATGCACTCTCTGCATTAACAACTCCTCCTGCGACTTCCCTTGTGCACTGATGACAGAACGGACACCAACTGCACTTCATGATACACGGTGAGGGACAGCTCTTGTAGAGTGATTGTCTAATACTGAAAAGGCCAAACACACAACAGAAGCATGGCTACTCGCTTGCATATAAAGTGGAAAGAACATCAGTGGCACACAAGGACAGACTGCTCTCAGGTTTTTGTTTCCAAAGGAGGCAAGAAAGCTTTATGCTGAGGAGACATTCGGCTGCTGCGGAGGTTGCGTTGGCTGCGGAGGCTGTGCTATCACTGTTTGCGCCTGTGAAGTGCTACTGGGATTGGCCTGTTGGGTCGAAAGTTGGGATAACTGATCACTGTTTGAAAGAGATTTTAACAGTGCATTTTCTCGTTCAAGTAAAGAGTTTCTTTCAACTAATTCTTTTATTTGTTCCTTCAGGACTTCCACTTCTTCTCTTACTGCATACATCAAATGGCTTTTCACTAGATCCTGTGAAGAACAAGGTAACAGTTACACCAAGTGAAAGAACAGTTTCGTTCCACTCCAACCCCAGGATTTACTATTTTACTGCTTTCATTGAAGTGGAAAGCCTGGAAAACTAAAGCACTCGTCACTAAAATTATATGAATAAATCAGCCTTCAAGAGCAAATAACCTAGGCCTTTTATTCAATAGCGGCCCTTACATCAAAAGCTTCATTTCCAGCATTCAGCATTAAGTTCTAGTCACCTCAGTTACGCTGCAGACAAGGACTAGAATTACGTTCCAGCTAATTAGAATGAAAGCATCAGCTCTGAAGCTTTGACCTGGAGGTAGCAGTCTGCATTACACAATCCCAAGCACTGAGGTGTACGAGAACCAAGAAATAGGACAGCCTTTAAATCAGCAAAGGCAAAAAAATCAAACAGATGTAACCGAAGCTCAACAAAATGTCAAGGATGGCACAGCATAAGTGACAATTAAGAAAAACTAGTGATGAACTTTGCTACAGTAAGAGACTCCAATGTGCTATTTATTTTCAGTGCCTCTAAGTTCAATCACCTTGTTCACAGAAATTCGTAGGAAAATTCATTTAAGAACATTTTTCTGGGCCAACAGTAAAGGCCATCATGGTTTGTGGTCATCCCTTAGTTGACACAGAAAATCCTTTTTTCAAATGATGGTCTCAGTCTGACCCGACTGAAGGGATGTTACAGACTCACAGAAACGCAATACAGATGGAAACTTATGCTCAGTGACAAACCACTAATCCTGATAGAAATAACTTATTTTTTACTTACCATTGCCTGTTCTATTTTGTTGTCAATGGCAACAACACTTGCACCAGATGAGCTGTAAATACAAGGAGAAAACTTTGTGAGCTTTACTGTACCATTCAATTAAAACTATGCACCCCCTGGCACCCGCAGGAGTCCTACAACATGCTTTCGCTGGAAGGCTAAAGCTTCAGATTCAGGAGTTCAGTACACAATCACGAGGGTTCCCCACACACTCTGTATTGCCCACTACAGTTAGAGCTCTTAAGAGACACCGCGCCTTCAGTCTGTAATTCCTCAGACTATGCTTACGACACCCATAACCAGAAAAATGCATTAGAATAGAGAGCAAATTAACTGCTTTGATTCCTTGCCTCATTTTTCAGCTTTCTTCGCTGGGGAAAATAGGGATTCATGGGATATGCATGATGTCCTCAACTCTAGTCTTATTTCTGCTAAACTACTTTTATAAAGCATTGAAGAAAACAACTGCTGTAGTATTTGTTCTCTGGCTTTACGTGAAGACTACTTTCCAGTTAAGGAGTTCCTGGATCAGCATGGTATTTACAACTTTGCAACCGAGTGGCTGGAATCAACAGAAGAGTAAGACACGACCAAATCCCTGAACTCCATGAGCGCGCTTGCTCGGTTTCAGCGAATTCTCACTGGATCGCATTTAACATCTAAGAAACGCGCTGCAGTCGGCTGATTACAGTTAGGGCCAAGTCTCGTTCCAAAGACATACTAGTGCAGAACAGTCCGACAAAACACCTCGGTCATCACTACAAGAACGTGTATTTACTGTGCGAAACAAGATGCTGAACTACATCTTGAAATCCTGGGTTACGGCAATCCAGGCCTTAATATTTTGGGTCTGTTTTCAAGTCACAACACAGGAACACAAGCCACTCACTCACTTGTAACTCTCCAGAGGCGGAATTTCGGGGGGCTGGGGGTGTCCCTGTTCTCTCGCAGGCTCCAGTCCGTTCGGAGAGGAGCTGTAGCTCTCCCCGGAAGGCTGGGCAGGGAGCCTGACAGCGCCGGCTGCCATGGAGGAACACCCCGCAGCAGCCACAGAGCGCTCCATCCACGCCCTCGCTGTCGGTCCCGCGCTCCCCGTGCCTGCCCTCCCATACTCGGTCTCAGCGGTCCGATTTTGCTCCGCAGCTCCGTGCCTGACACAAGACGGCAGTTCTTGGACTATTTACCAGGCCTGCCAGTGATAACTGCTGATAATGCTCCCCAGCGATGGAAGTCGCTATCAGCGGTGTGCAGCTACATTTTAAAAAAGTTAACATACGGGGAAAACGCAAGGTTTGCAGTCATGCTTGGAAACACGCCTCTCCGAAAAATACGTAACACTCTCTGAAGCCAAGTGTTAAGAAAAAACTACTTAAGGCTTTTTAAAACGACTACTGGAAATATGCTCAGCAGTATTAGTCACATACGTGAAACAAAGCTCAACTATTGAAAGGATAAGACACTGTTTAGAGAAATCCACTTTAACGAGTCTCACAAGAATTGTCAGTACCTAGCACCAAGCACTTACAAGTAGAAGGAATCAGTTTTTCAGACTGAGGGAGTAACAACTCCTATTCCTAAACTGAGCAAAGCTTGTAGTCTAAAACAAAAGTGCTAAACACCCATTTCACAAGAAAACTGTTCCAGTGTCTTACTCTCTTCTAAGAAGCCTCTTTCAAGTCATATTCATGGTAAACCTCCTCAGAATAAAAAGTATTTATAATTTATGACAAGGTTAAGTATTCCTTTCTATCTTGAATTAACATAGTACAGATCTATCTGAAACTGTCAAAAATGTCTGTGGTCAAGAGTCACTGAAGTCCCCAAGACTGCTCCATGTCCCCGATACAGCCTTTCATGAGCACCACTTCAGAAGCCAGGTGAGGCAGCTCTGAAGAGATAAAGACAAGAGGAGCAAAAGTAAAGCAAACAGCACACTTTGTAGTGGGATCTGCTTCTGCATCTTTACAGCATAATTATACACCTTTTGTCAATACTTTTCCAGTTAGAGATTGGGACTTTGTTCTTTTTTTCCTGTTTCAACTATTTTGCAGTGTGCTTATTTAAAAAAAATAAAGTCCACTACACCACTCGAAGTTAAGGCATTTGATCAGTTCCATGAAAAAGCCTCTCAAGTGGAAGACAGGCAGCCTTCCCCTTAATCACCTGAAAGACTCGTACCTGCACGGCATGCCGCAGAAGCACCTTTCCCATGCTGTACCTTGTGCTCCAAATTCTCTTCTGCCTTTTAAATGACTGCAGTGTTCGCAACGTGTGTGCAAGAACTGTCCCTCCCTGTAAGTGTGATTTGAATGCAGCCAGGGAAACTATCGCTCTCCCACCCACATTTTACACTTAAAGTGATACCAAGAGGCAGTGCTGAGAGCCCTAAGTAGTTTATACACTACTTTTATTTGTTTGTTCTCGTTGCCCTTACCCCCAGAGCAGCTTGTGCTATTATCAAAGTACCGAGTCAGGATTCCAGACCTGCTCCCTGCACAAATCCCAGTGTCCATCCTGCTCGTCTCCAGCAGGCAGAGTCCAGGACCACCCGGACCACCGCCCACCCACCCCAGAAGTTCCACACTGACAGAGCAGCCTTCGGTCAGTCAGATGCGGTTTTATCCCGATGACAATATTTCATTTCACTTTCTAAAAGCATATGAGAATCGGATTTTATGCTAGCACAATTCCGTATGATTCTGTCCTTTATTCATGTTATAGTGCTCCCCACAACAAACAGCTCCTGTGAGACATTCAGAAGCAGAGCACTCCAGTGCCAGCTATTCATATGGTACAGTCCAAATATGCTGCCAAATTTTAAGATTTTGTATTTTTCTCAAATCCTTAGCTGTTGATATCAAATCCCAGTTTGCATAAAAGTATTTTATCCCATGGCTGCAGAATGAAATTTATAGATACAATCCTGTCCTTATGAAGAGGCCAGGAAAAAAAAAAAATCTGTTAAGTCTTTTCAGATGTCGTAACTGGAAAGAGTTTGATACAGTCTGTGAGTGCACCATCCACTGTATATCCAATGCCTCAACTTGCAAATTCTTGAGTCAGAAGTGGAAAGACACTATTTAGCTCTTACAAAAAAAAAGACCGATTACTATGCCATGCTTTTAGACAAAGATGATTGCTCCAGGAGCTACAGCAGAAGTCTCGCAATTATTGTCAAAGCTGTAATACGTAGACAAAAATCCACATGAAGTAACGTAGGGCTGTTGAAAGGGATGCATTAGGCATACAGTATCTTTTTTTTTTTGTAACTACAAACTTCCCCCCGCCCCCCCCAACTAAGCTTTTGCAGCCAACTAGCTACCATACATACATGCTGTAATTTGAGAGAACAATTCAGTTTGACTTGGACCTCCAAGTCAAGGTTACGTAAATGAAGGCTCTGACCAAAAAGAGGTTGTGTTGGTATACCAAGATTGCTCTGAAGCCCATCAAGTACAAGGCAAGATTTAGTCGGCAACAATGACAAAGGTTACCAAGTACAGTTTGCCATTTCCAGAGATGGATGACAAACTCAACATTTTTCTACCTTACATACCAGACAGGCAAAACCCTATTTAGTCCGAGAAATTCTCATTTTGACTGTTTAAAAAAATCCTAGTGGCTTAAATGTAAGTGTTTCGTATTTTACTTTGAAAGACCAAGGGAAAACTAGATTTTGACTGCTAATAACACTGCTTAGCTGTAGCTCACAATCAGGTATGCAGCATTTGGAACAAAGTGTTTTATCAAATATTTACAGTTTGCACTTCGGAAGTCTTTATGTTGTGTTTTAGGTATGTTTCTCCTCTATGCCTACAACTCAAGAATAGCACTGTAATTTTTTTTTGTTTCAAATGTCTTGCAAACAAAGTGAGAGAAGTGTCTTGGATGATCACGTACAGAGTAAGAAAATGGGAAACGAACTGGTAAGTCTAAGTGCAAGTCTGATTTCTAAGGCATGTTACACAATATACAGCAATCACACTTTCCATAATGCATTGCATTCTTAAAAGCCTCGGTATAACTCTGGCTTTATTGCTGCAAAAACTTTTCCTATGGAGACATGGTTCCCAAGAGTATGGTAAGATATCATTGGAAAGATGTTTCAGTATCATCAACAAGCTATAATATTGTTAAAAAAAGCATTTGGTAGCCTTGTTAGCACCACACATACCAGTGTGCAACTTCACTATACAATATCTGTATTTTCAGCAATCAAGTGTTCTTTGTAAAGCATAATTTTGCAGTTCAAGAAAGCTTACTTACTGCAGACTATTCCAAAACTTGAACAACACTGTTCACAGAATGGGAAAGTGAGTAAAATAAATGACTAATGGAAAAATTGGGGATGAGTGGATCAGAAGACAGCAGAAAAGGTTAATGTCTTAATGTTAACTTGTTAATGGCTGGAGGAAAATTTAGCCTTCAACATCACCTTACATTCACAGGCACCAAGATCTGTTTCAATGGTGAAATCAACACACGCCACTGTACTCAGCTTGGTGTTTTCACCATTCATGTCTTTAGGTATAACTATCATCCTTCTAAGAGGCATGTTCTCAACTTCAAAATTCACTTTGAAATCTAGGTAGAAAGACTAGGAATCAAACTTCAAAATAAAGGCATTTGCAGCTTAATTCACTCCGTATGCTTAAAAAAAAAAAGAACATAGTGGTTCATCTTTAGAGATTCCACAGTCCTCAGTAATGTGTGTATTTTACACCAACATGGGATGCATTAGGAATGAGAGTTATAAACAGCCCCACTTTGGCACTGTCAAGTACTAGACTAGGTAATAGCATTTCACATTTAAGAGACTGCAAATCCTACTGACTGGATGATGTAAACTAATTTTGAAGCTTCAGGTTTTTTAGTCAGTAACAAAAAAAAATATTCTGTATTTAGCTGTATTACCAATTATCTGCATACTACTTTCCCAAGGAATTTCACAGCAGCAAGTCATCCCCCAAAAGACTGCCAGAATGCATTAGTTTTCTTGCTCTTGATATTTCTTTTAAATTTTATCATCAAGAGTTACTATTCACCTCATGCTTTTAGATGCATAAAACCTATCACTCAACGCTGCTAATCCTACAAGAGTGGAAAAGATTGCCTGCAGAACGGACTACAAAAGGGCACACCGATGCTAGCAAGAGTCTTGTCCAACAGCCTCTGCAAGGCAACTCTTCCTTTACAGCACTAGATCTACTTTGCTTTAACCTGAAGCGGAACGATGTTATACACTGCAGTCTCAGTCATCCCTGAACCAACTGATCTCCCACAGCTCTTTCGTTGTTACTGCTTTAAATCAAATTACCAAGCAACCTTTCTGGAAGGAACAGTAAGGTACCTTGAAGTGCTCCCAGATTTGTTTTGCTCGCAAGTGAACTACAAACTAAAACAGTGTGTTAATTTATTCTTTCCCCCTCACTGGTTTACTCATTTATGAGCTACTGTAGTCACTTAACCAGCCACTCTTCACGTCTTACCACTAGTGGAGCTATTTAGTCTGTCCAGAGAAGCCTTGTCTGTTCTTGAATCAGTTAAGGCATGTTTAATTAGCCTCCATCCAATTATGAGATCTTATAATGATAGCTTCCCAATGCAATCAATTATGCAGCCTTGAAAGAGTACCTATGCAAGTATTTCAGATTTTCATCATTTTTCCTTTGTCAAGGCCTTTGTGAAAATGTGAGAAAGTTTGAGGCAGTGAATTCACAGCCTCAGGATTACCTGCAGGTGCCCAGCTTTCCCTGCAACTCTAAGCCCCACATTAGTCAGCTCCTCCATCAAACAGAATTATTTGTTTCCATAGGACAGTTACGTTTTCTTCAGTTTTACATAAAACTCTGAAGATAATTATTCAACACAACATCATAATTCATCTTAGATGCAATGCATGAGCTCTATAAAAGACAGAATACTTCTGGGGAAAACCAAGATGATGTTTGAGTTGAATTGGTTTGGATTTGTTGTTTGTTTGGGGTTGTTGGGTTTTTTGTTTACATTAAAGAAAAATGTGGCTCCTTCACAGTTTTGTTAAGTTTGAGTTACACTAAAGAACCAATCAATCTTCCCTATGCGTGAAGACAGTCACATTGCCCATCATTTCCACGAGAAGTAAGCATCAAGAAGAAACACGTTAACCACAACACTGACTGGATCAGTGCATTACATGAAGTGCCAGCCTTATCTTAAGACTCTTTTTAAATTTCACATGAAGTTTGAAACTTTGAATTTCAAATCAGAGAAGTTTCACCCCTAAAAGAACCTCTAGATAAAGCTACAATCAAGAAGTGGGAGATGTGTAACTCTTGACTTTCTCCTGTCTCTAGGAGGAGCATCTCATTTAACAGAAAGGCACAGAATAGGGAAATGGAAGTTTGGCAAAATCCACCACATGAAGAGATGCTGTCTAATTCGTCACGTTTACATAAGAAGAAAGATGTTTATCAGCAACACTTAGAGTATGTTTATCTGGGTGCTAACGTAGGGGTAAAATCCACATGAGTTAATTTATATTGTGAAGGTTTAATGCTTCACACAAAAATGCAATGGAAACATAAGTCCTATTGCTTTAAATTCAAGTATACCAACAATGGCTATGTTTTAGGCAAACGCATCTGAAGCTCCTCTGGCTCTATTACCACACAAAGGCAATCCAGGTACAGAAGAGCCATCGCCCAGACTCCCCACGAGACTTGTGCCCTTAGCAACACCTCTGCGAACACTATGCAGAAAAACATTTGCAGGCTTCCCGCAAAGGTTGACACCAGCATTTCACTAATATTTAATGGTTTGAATGTTACCAGCACTTCTTCCCTGCCATGGTGCCTTAGTGGAAAATAAACAGGTCTCTATTTTACTGAAGCAATTTAGCAATCTTTTACTGTCTACTGCAATAGCACGTGGTTAGCTTTGCTGACTTCAAATGGTCCCAAGAGATGGCTGCTCATAGGAGAATAATCCATATTTGTTAGAAAAAAATACTCAGATTACACAGGAAGATTATCTACTACATTTACACTAAAGTCTCCCAACTCAAGCCCCTGAGGTTCACAAACTATGAAGGAGCTGCAAAATGTAATTAAAGAGTCTACTGGCAGCAGGCTTCAGATCCTTAAGTTTTGCAGTGTGTTAACCCCACATTTCGGGATGGGGAAGCAGAGGGATCCTGAGGAAATCAGATGAGCTTGTCATTTTCACAGCAGAGATTTCTCTTCCACAAACCAGAGATCACAAAAAAAGCCCCAAACCACGTACTTATCAAACTACTCGCGTCTGACAAGAGACCCCACCCACATCAGAGGCCGTGCTACCCACACAAAGCGGAGCTGCCAGGGCACCGTCAGGACGCACGCTGCTGGTGGAGCCACACAGCTGAGCTCCACCATACCCCTACCCTGCGAAGCGCTCCCCAGAACTGGCTTTGCCCTTGCAGTTCCCTCCGTTAGGTTTTCATCGGAAGTTTATTGTTGAAAGCTTCTCAGTTTCAGTTGTCTGGTAAAGCAAAACTATGTAACATGATCTTAAGAAAATCTAGTAACTGAGTTACAAATGCAAAACCTGCTAAACCCCTGTCAAAGACTTTGGAATTTGAACAGATTGTAAGTTTAAAACTTGCATCAATCCTGATGAATTTGCTTCTATGTTTTTACAAATACTTGTTTTTACCACAAAGTGTTCAACAGCAAAGATGCAAGACTATTTTTGAAGGAAGCCATTTACGTTCTTCTACCCGAATTTAGTGTTTTTCTATATCCCATGCTTCCAGTACTTGCTTCAGACGTTGTACATAAACCTCAGATTTGTGAAGCCACAATCTTAATCATTAGTTACTTGATTGTAGGGTTTTTGAATCAGCTTCTGCATCTTAAGAATTATTTCAAGTTAAGAGACATGAAAATAGAGAAAGAGATGAAGGCTAGACCTTAAAGTGAGCTTTTGGTCTAACCACCAAATTTGTATTCAAGGCCCTAAAGTTTATTTTAGTTAAATAATGAAGTCCTTGGAACCTAAATACCAACTCTGTCCCATAAATGCAGGAAAGTGGCACCATCCAGAGCTTAAAGCAAAAATGCAAATTTGTACAAGCTTCTGCTAGAAAAGGAAGATGTGCTTTTGAAACTTAGCCTAATGCTAGCACTTCAGCAAAAAACAGAGCAGGATGCATTATCATTACTTTTAACCATCAGTGTTGTACAGTATACAAATTGTTGCCAAGCAAACCTTAAAGGATTCAGTTAAACTTTGCAAGGTGAAAAGCCTCTCAAGTCAAATACAGCCAGTACAATGATTATTATCGTTATCAATACTTCAATAGCTTCTACAGAGCTTGCTAAGCAGAAGTACTGTGACAAGCCAGAGCATCACAAGGCATGAAGTCACATAATCACTAGGACTTCAACTTAATGCTGACAAAAAAAACCCTTCAAAATCATTAAAGTGCAGGAAAGAAACAGTTTGCAGCTACTGATGAATTAGTAATACATCTCTGACAAGTCATATCTGTAAGAGATACGACTTTGTTGCACTTCATTACAGTTTCTCGCCATGAGTTCAATGCTAACTTAGTAGGTTACTTTGTCCTTGTATCTTGTCACACAGTTCATGTTTATTCCCCGTCTAGCTTTACTTCAGCAGAATGAAAGCAAGCCAGAAAGTTTCCTTTCCTGGTTTTGAGACCAAAAGATTTTAACTTTGCCAAAATTGTGTTTAAATATAATATTTTCAAAACTTGTTTTCTGATACAGGACTCGATAGCCACAATGCCAAAAAGTTTCCTTTTTTTGGAAAAGGAAGCTGTAAATATTTTAGTGCAGGTCAGCTAGTAGCTGAGTAGCATTAAACTCTTTCAGCTTACATATTATGTACGATACATGCATAATGGAAGGAGGAAGGAAAAAAAGTCATGTAATATATTTTAGATTTATTTAGTTTTAAGTTTCAGTACGAAGACTTCACTTCCATGACTGCTTTCACACCTTCAGGCTGCAGAAGTCCAATATAAAGTTCTAAACACAAGCAGCAGTTCTGTGCAAACAAAAATGACGAGAAACTTGCATAGAGCGAAGCTGTTCATGCATACCTCAGCACGTATGCATTGCATACTTAAGCATTCATACCTATCCCAGAAGGTCTTTGACTCGCGTAACTTGTTGAAATGGAACGCTTGGTAGAATGCGGTTGACGGATTCCTATGAGATCCAAGAATCAAACAGACATATTGAAAATGGGTACGTAATAAAAATACTAACTCTTATTCAACCTGCATTACAAAGTAAATTAGCTATCCAGACAGGTTAAATTTATGTCCAAAAGTTTACAGACTTCACAGAATGCCTAAAGAATAGTTCAATGACTGAAAAGGCCTTACAGTTTCTATGGGTTTCCATTAATGACATACTGATTCAAAAAGAAAAAGTAATCCTCGATCCTCCGGATTTTCATGCTATTTCAAGTTGCTACTGCAAAAAGACAACTGTAAAACCATTAATGAAACATCTCATGTCATGCTGACAATCTTGCATAGGTAAGCTGTATACCACTCTAATGCTATACATATGTAAATTCAAAAGATACCTTTCACACTGTTCATATTTCACAAAATGTCTCTGCAAACAGTACCCTACCCAGTATTTCTATTCTACTTCGCACCCTGCTTTATATTCAAAGGGCACAAGTTCTCCAAGGGGACCTGGAAGTCAGAGCTAAATATGCCTTATTCAAACTACGACAGATTAAGTTAGAATGAAAACCAGATCGAGTTTGAATTCGAAAGTAAGATCTAAAATACTGCCAACTTTGTAAGCAGTTGTCAGTCGTGCCTGTGCCTGCCCTCCCTGACGTGCAAGAGGGCAGCTGCTGTTTGGAGGCGCTTTGCCAAGCGGTAAATGGGAGCGCTTTAGCCACCACCCTGGCTCTCAAGCCTTCAGCACAGGCTCCAGTAACCTTGCTGAAGGCCAGACACTACGGCACAAATCCTGTCACCACTGCCAAACCCCTGGGACAGCCTGACCCTCCTTCTTCAGCGCGCATTTACCCCATAGATAGCAACTATACCAAGAGTGTAATTTGAAGATCTTAGTTCTCCAAAGTCTCATCTGAACACTTGTTGTTTACAAGATACTGGATGAAACACAAAGTCAGAATTCTCTAATGCTAGGGGCTCTATCAGAGCCTTATACTTAAGCTTAGAAAATCCTTTTATCAATACTGCAGTTCATCCTTATGTTGGTATAGCTATACCAGCCCTAGAGAAGAATGCAACAGCTTAGCTGAAAAATCTTCAGAAAAAGCTAGTATTAGAACTAATTATAAAACTGTCTTTAAGAGGAATTAAGTTTATACCAACATTAAAAGCACAGGTGCCCATCCCTTTTCTAAGTTTATGGCAAGAATACTTCTTAAAACAACCATCTTCAAGTTATTTAATTATTTCCATTTAGGTACAATCACTGTATAGTTGAAATCCTAGAACAAAACAAACAAACAAAAAAATCACAGAAGCAGCACCATAACAAAACACTATCTGAAGTAATTTGATTCCCATGGCAGGTATATACCAAAAACCTTGCAAGGGTAACGATATTTGTGCATCAGCAATGATCAGGAATCACTTGCTTGGAGAGTTTGTCACTCCTCCTCCCACCTTCACCACTCTGCCCTTAAAAAAAAATTTCCATGTGATTCTGGAATTCAGCTTAAAACCTGCTACAGAAGTTGCTTGATCAAGCTGGTAAACATCACACTCTTACATTGATACTACTTATGTTTTCATAAGCAGTATTGCACAGGAGTGACAACTAAATACAACTAACTATAGGAAGAGCAACACAATAGCTGAAGGACATTTGAGTGACACAGGGACTTGGCATATGGAAAGCAATTGGCATCTGCAGATCAAGAGAGCACTCCTTTGTTGAACGGAAGGATGAGGCCCAAGCTCTTCTTTCTAATTCAGTTGTCTGTGAGGAGTATGTAAAAAGTCTCTTCCTCAGAAAGTGACTGTAAATAGAAAGTCATTTAACTTCCAAGATAAATTTACTTGCAGCATATAAAACCCTGTTGCTATTGTTAGGTGTAAAAAGTTGTGGTTTATAACCACACAGCATGTATTTCATACAGTCTATTTTTATACTGATACTCTATATGCTATATATTCTAGTACTATTCTTAAGCAAGTATCTGGAAAGGTATGAAAAAAGTTTCTTGTTAAATTCTCATTTGTACCCTCTGCTGTTGAAATTGCTTTTGCATTACTTCAGACAATTAAGAGAACATTTTCTACTCCGTAGCTATATTTTAGCAAGATAAAATAGGGGCGGGGAAGGGGCTAAACAGGAAAAGCAAATCCGCAGAGGTAAGATGAATGACGCCTCATGTGCAGGTCTGAACTAATACGATGGAGTTTCACACTGTTGAGGCACCTATTTTTAACCACATCAAACAGTAAAAAGTTAGACAATTGCCAGAAACTCCTTTCAGTTTGCAGAAAGGATTGAGAAAACAGCTTACAGAAGTAGCATAATCTAGCCTGCTGCTGCTGTGTCACAGCCGAAACACCAGAATTCCTTCTGACACTGCCTCAGCTGAATGTCGGGACAGCCTGGACCAGAAAAGCAGATTCCTCAGGTCCCCTCCCCGGCAGACGGCCAGGTCCAAGGGGTCGAGACTCAGTCCCAGTTGTTGGCAGGCTGACCCAGCAGAGCAAGAGCCAGCCCTGACACTGAACCAGAGGAGAGCCCACCTCCTCTCCACAGCAGGCACACCAGGCACTTCTCGTCCTCCATCTCTGGTCAAAGAGGAGAACTGGTATTCCCAAGGATTGAGAAGCTCGACTCCAGTCCCAGAGACTATGACAGACAACTAGCTTAGCATGTTTAAACATTCAAACTGTATCTCGCTTGGTAGAATATGCCTCTGTATCTCTATAAAGAAGTCCTATGACACATACTGTATTTATTTCCTTTAAAAGCTCACAAACATCAATATTCACAACACACTCCAATGCTACAGTTTCTAACAACAGTTTTCATGCAACAGAAATTTGATCTAAATTTAAAGGATGAGAATCTACTCAGTTCTACGAATACTTGAAACTTCAAGTTGTCCCTTTAAAGGGGCAGTCCAGACCACATCCAAAGTCTCACCTCATATTCTAAAGAGTATCCTCCCTCTGCCATTAATTGGGACAAGCATATGCCAAACACAAACTGTATTCTAGAGAGCTCCGCTTCACTAGAAACCATGCCCATGAAAGTTAGCAAATTTTCAAGTATACAAATAAATGACTTCTAGTTTAAATAACGATACTGGCTTTGGAAGTGCTGGGTATCAGCCTGGCATACAGAGGCTGCTAAACAGATGCCTTTCTTCCAGCTGCTACCTTTGCAGGAGGAATAGTAACATCATTGTCCATGACATAGCTGAAGCTGTTTCAATCTTCAAACTACTGACCAACACCAGCCATTAAGGGCAACAAGAGGAGGAACACGTGAAGAATACCACACTTCCACAGACACACACACCCCCCCCAAGGTGGAAAAATATAAAAATGCACACTAGACCTCCTCAGACAGTTCTCTCTCTCTATCACTGACTACTATTCTCATTAACTTTGAGAACAGGAATGATCCAGAAGATTAAAAAGGCCGAAGCACCTGCCTTTGAAGAACATGAAAACAGCGGGTCAGATAACCTGTGCTCAATGCCTCAGAGGAAAACCAAAGCAAAGCAGAACCACCTATTTATTATTACCTAGACAGCAGCAAGCCAACATGGATGGCCTTTTCAGAAGCTTACGTCAGACAAAAATTCCTTCTGAGAAAAATTAACAGGCCTCATATAGAAAAAACACAGAAGATATGGTCACGTTATAAAATTAGTAGTGCTTTTAATGCCACCTTGCATGACATTTTTGTAAGTAAGAACACGGCTTATACAAAGCGGGTCCACCATTGGTAACTACTCTGTACACGTGGCTCTCCAACGGTTCAGTGGAAGGATGCATCAAACAGAGCTCTCCAGGGGTCTCCTCCGAGTGTGTTATAGGATACTTTAATCCATGACTTGGACAGTGGAGTACAGACTATCTTTATACCTGCAGATGATCTTGCAGGAATAGAATTCAGGAAGATCTTGCCCAATTGGAGCAATGGTCTGAAATAAAAAGGATGTAATTCAATAAGGATAAGCATGAAGTATATGCTCTGGTAGCAATAATCAGCTGCACAAGTACAAAACATGGAATGAGTAGCTGATTGCAATTCCACAAGAGAGGATCTAAACAGAAGTTAAAAAAGAAAAGTCTTGCCAAGGTGTCAAACTTGCAATACTCTTACACAGGATGTATGCATAGTAACTGAAGTTGTTTCCTTCGGCCTTTCTGAGCCCTTAGATTTTATGGCCAGTTTTGGATACTGACTCTCCAGAAGGATATAAGCCTACTGAAGTCCAGATAAGACTTCAGTAAGAAGACATGTCATATTGCAATTTTTCTTCCAATAATCAGAATCACTAAGTAGGAAAATTAAGCATTTAAAAGAGATGAGAGAGACAGTTACAGGCTTCGCATAGTTTAAGTATCCGCAAAGCAGAAGAAAACTTGTTCACATATCTGTTACGTATAAGCACAGCACAAACATTATGGGGTTTAATTACAGGAAAGAAAGTCTAAACTACATCAGAATTGTTTTCCACACAAACAGCAAGGAACAGAAAAGGATTCTTACAGAAGTGGTGGGATTCCCACACTTGTTGTTCTAGAAGAGATCAAGCTGTTAATGCTCCAAAAGATTTCAGGCCCTTCAGTCTCCAGATCAGCCCATAGGCCCACCTTTCACAATTCTTTGAGAATTCAGGACATCACTAGCAAGAACTTTAAAGCAGAAGTTCTGCCTTTCAATAGGATTAACTCCTATAGGAACCAAATTAACTATGAAATAGGAAAGAAAGAAGCTAGTTTATACTTCGAAATCAAACTGCCTTTCCGTTCAACTGCAAAGTTCATGTCTTTTTTTGGCGGAAAGTGAGCAATGACCATTCTAAAACAAAATTTTTCTTAGTTGCAGACAAAGCTCATACTGAAGCACTGAGTTTAAGATTATAAACTATCAGTAAAACATCCATTACTCTTGTGTTCCTAGTCTTAAAAGGTCATTAATCATACAGTGATGCATCAATAGGACTAGGAATT